GGGTTGAACCTAAATTAGGTTCAACGTTTGGATACCGAAATCTTTGGTTTAAAACATAGTAGCTGGCTTTTAATAGAATTATAGTTGTTAGACGAAACCATGTGATGTTAATCATCACCTGTCCTAAAATACCAAGACCTAAAATTTAATCTAAGCTTTGATATGTGACATTTAGCATCACATGGTTTCGTCTAACAACTATAACATCCTCCCAAGTAAGTGTTTCTGATCTTTTCGCGAGGGACTCTTGACAAAATAGTGAAAAATTATATAAGCTTATTTCTTCAATTTTATCAGGAGTTTTATGTTTGCTTGCCATTACAGCACCAAATAAATTTTATTGGCTAATTTTTTGAGAATTAAATTTTATTAATTTATATAATAATATGCTAGTGTTTATAAAATTAACTAGGCTGTGGTTAGCAAATCTCTTATTTTTATTACTCAAGATTATAATATATTATATATATTCTCAAATGTTTAAATAACTTTAATCAAATATTAATTATTGACTTTTTTGACTTATATTAATATGTTATGTATCAAAAGTGATGAAATCACTTACATATTCACACGTTCCTGGTTTCTAGTGCAACTGCATTGCACTGTTATCTTATTTAATAAAAATTACCATTACCCATATGTACGACGTACGTATCTATACGTACAATACAAATCTGGAACTACACAACTAAAGATGCGAACTGTAAACATTTAGTTAATATAAATAAACTGTAGTTTATTGTAAAACTGTAGTTTATTGTAAAACAGGAGTTTTAAAATAAACCACAGTTTATTTATATGTACTGTAATTCACTGTTCACAGTTCATATCTCTACTATACGATCATACGATCGTTCGATTGTACGATCATACGATCAGCGTTATACGATAATGCACCATGAGACCCAGCTATAAGATAAATAATTTTCCATGATTTTGTTAACTATAAAAAGTCTAAGTTTTCATTACATCTTTTTTAATAATCATTACAGTTTTCACTGAATCATTTAAAAAAAAACAACAAAAAAAATGAACTCAGCAATTTTTAAGATTTTACTTATTTTGTCTCTTATGACACAATCTTTTGCTTGGACGCTAACCTTAGGTGGCAAGGTTTATGATGGCAATACTAATCAAGATTGCACGGCTGCTTTTGGTAAAACAGGTACCCAATTGGATTGGACTCGTAAGTTGTTTTCTGGCTGCTGTGTTCGATTATATCCAGATTCTGCATGTAAAAAGCAACAAATTGGTTATTCTTGCAAAGATTGGAAAAAAACATTAAGTCAAAATGTTGGCTCTTTCAAAGTTGAAAGCTGTTCTTAATGATAAGATATGATGTTTCTTTCATAGTGGTATATTGTCATATGTCCTTGGAAATTTGACTTTTAATTATAAATCCTTTTCTTTAATCCTTTTTATAATGGAGTTGTCTTTCATAATAATTTAATAAATAATAGCAAATAAACCATTAAGTTATATGAAATTTTATATTCTTTTTCTACCTTTCTTAGGATCATAATTTTTTGAATTATATATTATTTTATAAGATTTTTTGTAAATTTTTACCTGAAGCCCTTCCACCTATTGGTTGCACTTTTTCTCGTGATGTATAATATAAAAACTTACTTAAGAATAAAATTGATTCATATAATTATTTGTGCCTTGTCTCAAAATTATTCTTTATATCACATTTTTTTCTAAAGAGAATATTCTTCAAATTTTTCAAATATTAAGATCTTTTATATGTATTAATTTCTTGAAGATATAGATAGGTGTCTAAATTCAAAAAGGAAATTAAAACAATAATTGTGTAAGCTTTGAATTTATAAAGTTTCTGAACTGTAAGCGCTAATGCTAACAATACTAGCGTTATTGTAAAATTAATTATCATGAAACTTCTTTGGTTCAATTCCAAATTCAAGTGAAGTTTTACAAATATACAGTAGTAATAGAACTAACAATACGAAAAAATAGATGTTTCTTAATTGTCGCATTTATAATTTATGAAAAATAATTTTTTTTAAATAGATTTCGAGGTATGATATTCGAATTTTTAATTTTAAAGAAAAGAAAATCAAATAAAAAAAAAAAAAAATAGCAAAATGTTTGATAATAACTACAAATGAACATGTCAAGTCTCATCAAAACTTAGATAAATCAATAAACAGCATAATTATAAAAATATGATAACTATATTTAAAATATTTTATGTAAAACTTTCTTTCTACTTCTTCTGCACCCCTATTATATTTTTCTTTAAGTTTTTTCACAAAAATAAAGGATTCTAAGTCAAAAGAAACATGATTATAATTTAAAATTTTGCCTCTATCTTCATCAAGCCAAAAATATAATTTCTGATCATGGTGATAAAAGTCATAATTTTCTATCATTTTTGTTTCACAAACTGAAAGACTACGTGACAAAAAAATAATAGTAAAATGCTTAAAAATACTAGGAAAATATGATATTTTCTCAAAAATATCAAATTTGTGGATATGGTTGAAACATATAAATAAATAAACAGGTGCGGTAAATAATATTATATTAAGAATTTGAGAAAAAAATATAGTTATAAATAAAAAGGACAAATAAATATGATGCTGCTCAAATAAACTTTTAAAATTGACAACATTAAGATTCATTATACCATATATTAACAAACTATAAGAACTCAAAAATGATAATAACAAGTAAGTAAGTTCTTTAGAAATCAAAAATTGGATTACGGCACTTAAATATAATAAATAGGAAGCTAATTTGAACCTGTCAAAAGATTCGTTAAAAGAAATTGAAATAAAAAATGTAAAAATAGCAATAGCCGTAGAAACAATAAAATGATAAATAATCCGTTTAAATCGAAAATAAAAAAATAATAGATAAAATAAAATCGCAATAAAAATACAAGTGATTGGGAAAATAATAAGAAAACAAATAAAAAAAAAAATTTGAACCATAATTCTAAAAATCATTGTTTCATCGTGATCGTCGAAAAAAGGGCCGGCATCTAAACCATCATTGGTTTTGTCAAATCCACTAATCTCATAAAAAACAATATTGAATGAAAGTTTTTTTAGTATTGTAACAAGTAAAATATTTGTAATGTGCAAGTGAGTTTTTATCAGAATTAAGTATTTTATTTTATCACGTTAGCATGAAGATAATTAATGCTCTAAGTGTTTAGGT